TAGCAGCTACCTGCTAATCATTAGCAGCTACCTGCTAATGGTTAGTAGCTAACTGCTAATCCGCTACAGACCAAACTTCGCGTCAGAAGTGGCTGAAGTTCCCCGGGTGTCGGTGCCGTGGAGTCCAGGGAAGGTTCTCTAGTCCCTGCTGGGCGGCCGTCTGCTGCTGAAGCAAACATCTGAGGACAGGTGCTTTACTGAAGGCTTTACCTGCAGCTCACCTGTCTGAGGTGGAGAACAGATCGGAGCATCGTTGACACCTCGTCTCCACATCCAGGGCGTCTGTCTGCTGTGGATCCTGCTGCAGATGTTTCATGGATCAGAGGAGAAACAGCTGGAAGCAGTTTTCAGGGAGTTCACACTGTGTGCTGTTTGTAGACCAGGTAGGAGGTAGAAGGTGGATCAGACTCTAACCTGCATCTTTCATAAAGGAGGGGATCTGGCTTAGTTTGGGCAGCGAGGGGCGGAGCCTGGAGGCAGCGAGGGGCGGAGCCTGGAGGCAGCCTGGGCCACGCTTTAGTGCTGACGTCTGTATAGAAGTGACCTGGGCAGGTGTGGAGCAGCTCTGTGGCTCTGGAGGACCTGGCAGACGTCGGTAAACATCAGCTGTCATCATTTGTGGGACACTCACAGCGTCCTGATGGCGGCGGTTCTGGTGAACAGTTGTTTCTGGTTTGAAGGACGGAGAACCGACCTGGTTGGACCATCAGATGTCCTGTTGTTGGGTTTTAGCTTCCAGGTGTGAAGGTGAACCAGGAGAACACAAACAGCTCCCCTCTCTAACTCTGTGACGTTTATGGTCCAGGTTCTGGCTGAGCAGCACCAGCTCCTCCCAGCAGCTCCATAATAACTGATTCAGCACATGATGCTGATAACAGTCATTATAATCTGCTGCTGCTGCTGATAAGGCCTCTCCGCTCTAAACCCTGAGCCGTAATTACATCTTGCACGCTTTGATTGGCTTTCGTTAATTCCCTGACAGCCAATCAGCTCGTCTGGTTGGCTCCGTGTTTGATGGTCATTTTAAAGCCCGTAATCCTCCCTGAGAGCTCGAACCGGATGCGACACAAAAACCTTCTTGTTTTACGTTTTCCTGTCGCTTCTTATCTGACAGTCTCCAGCAGATGTTCTCCGTAATTCCTCCGTAAGTCGTCCGTCTGCTCCCACAACTCGTCTCCTGGTTTTTCTAATCCTTCTGTGCGAGCCGTTGATGTTTCTGTGTTTGTGTGCAGACGCTGGTTTCTTCCTCCCACGCTGACGAACATGAACTCTGCTGCGT